TCGTAATAATTTGCTTGTAATTATTGAAGTATTCTATAGAATCTTTATAGAGGTATCAATGTTAGGATGCTTACGACCAATGTACCATCAAAAAGAGAGCAATTAAGATGAATTTCTTGTAAAGTCTATATATCAAGATAGTAAAAGTCAGTAATTACCAAAGAAAATGGTTGAGGCTGAGCGATATCAGGGATTGAATAAAGTTGAGCATTAGCACCGTTCGATACCGGCTCATTGGTGTAGAGGTTAAGATTTTGTGCGCGAGTCCGTAGGACCTGGGTTAGATTCCCGCGAATGGAGACCGTGGATGCGCACCTCTTATACACTAGTACGAAACCTCCACGTTTCCAGTGGTGACGTAGAAACGATCAATCCATAGTTTTAATAGAATAACAATTAGATCGATTTATCGACCCATTCACAAATTCTGCTATTAACCGAATTTCTTTTTATTTTATATAAATAAATGAAACAAATAAATATCAGTAATTTCATTATTTATTGAAAATTTCCTTTTGAAATTAGATTTGAATTGATCAATAAGAAGTATACCGATTTTATCAGCGTTTCAAATTTTCTAACATTATTTGGATCGCTTTCATATTATAAGCTAATGTGGCATGAAAAATTGGTCAATTTTTTTGTTTTATTCAATGGTATGGTCATAATCAGTCTTCAGGTTCCATTCTCTATCAATGTCAACATTATTGACTAAACTTGAAATGAAAATGTATGTAGCGTAGGTATTATGATAATTTCAAGTAAATTGAATGTAAGCTAAATTGATTAGAGTAATATACTAATCATTATTATTAAGTAATAAGCTTTTTGATATTTCAGAAATCAGTGTATGTTGCTTCTATTAAGAATAATAATAATAATAATAAACTGACTGAATTTATTTAACTGCACACGTAAATTGTACTCATGTAGATATGTCAATTGGTCGTAAGATACCTCCAAAGCCGAATAGTTGTTCAATTCAATTCATTCACAGTAGTAATAATAATAATACCACAACTATCAACCATTTTTATGTATAAACAAAATTTATTATTTTTTTTTATGTAACGAACGAATTACATTGCATGATTTATTTTTCTACCTCTATTTTTTGTCGCTTCAACATTTGGTTGGTCGGTCGGTTATAATCGTTCTTGCATAACCCGAAGTATATGCATATATATATTATATTATATAATATAATATATGTATACATGTATCTACATGACATTGTTGTTGATGATGTTGTTGTTGTTGTTTGTGGTACAAGTACTACACTAGTCTTTTATCGCTCTTGAAAAAATTTACGGAATAAAACAAACACCAACAACCAATCATTGAATTGATTATGTAAGTAGTAAACTGTTTTTCCTTCCTTCTTTGTTCTTCTTTCTTTACTCTACACGATATCATTGTGTGTGCAACAGAGTGAGTTTTGTCATATTATGAAATGAATTATACAGTTTAAATGATGTTGATCTCTTTCATACTCGCATACAATCATCATCATCATCATCATCAATAATAGATAGATGGATAGATAGATAGATTACATAATAGAAAGGAGAAATTTCATATTATTCACAAAAAGTATCATCTACAACAAATGAATATGACGAATTAATTGTTTTTTCTTTCTTCCTTTAATTTCCTTGTTTAAATTGGAATATTGTGCATTCTGTGTTTGTTTATTTAATCGGTTATAATGCTTTATTCATGTTTATTATTCTATCAGTAAAGTTTATAGAAACAAACAGTGAAAGAGACTATTTGTTGTTGTTGTTGTCGTTGATCATGAGGTTTATTGAATTCGATTGATTGATTATTACAGAATTGCATACAACGAAGACAACATTGTTCACTGTGGATTTACTTTAAGAATATAATGATTAAACTATTTGTGGATTTGATTATGACCATTCTTGTCTTAATGTGCTGGTGTCTGATGAAATTCCAACACGCATATGCAAGGCTCAACTGGCTTTCAGCAATTAGCGCAGCTTATGGCATAGGAGAGATATCCGTCTGATAAGCAAAGAACGAGTGTACTGTGCAGCACTTCTCTCCTTCCTAGTTTACAGATGTGAAACATGGCCAGTAAGAATAGAATATATTCGTACGTTACTGATATTCGATCATCGGTCCCTTCAAAACATCGAGTAAGCACTGCTAGTGTTAGGAAAAGAGTACTAGGCATGGATGGCGAATGAAATGATGAAATAGTGAATCCTCATCAGTCGAGGTAGTTGATCATACGTAATCCATGACCGCCTCGACGAGCTATGTTTTGTGGTGTAGGAGTAGGTTGGAAGAAAGCTACGGGCGGCCAAACCAAAACATGGCACAAATCCATGAAGTTGCTGACAGCTAGACTGAGCCATGTTACTAAGTGTAGACTACCTGGTTGGTATCCACATGACGATCGTAACCGGTGATTGGAAACTTTAAATTACATTGCCCAACATCGTTTGCAATGATACAGATGCATCCATTCTTTGTTGTCTCTCAAATTCTAATAATCTAAGTTACTTTTTTTTGCTTTTCCTAATTTATCTCACTGGATTATACTCCTTGAGTAATATCTTCAAACCTTGATCTTTTCGATTGCCGCCCTATTCTGCTAGTATCACTAGCACTATGGGATTTGAATAGACAATTCGATCTGTGTGTGTGCTAATATGGTATGGTAACTTGAACTTATGTACATACGTACAAAGTTTTTCGTTGTAACTGACTGACTTATTTGAATGATCAATACATATATCTCCATGAACTAGCTTTTAAATAATACCACTTTCTCATTGTTTCCACGTTCTGTTTGTTACTGCTGATATTCTTTATATATAAGTAGATAAATAAATAAGTGTAGTAGTAGTAGTAGTAGTAGATTTTTTTTAGTCTTATCAACTACTATCTTTATCTCTTATACAGCCTTACTGGGATTTGTCTACTTTTATTTACTGTTCAAAAATGTCAAGGTCCTCGTACGTAAACCTCTATAGGTTGCTGCATGCACACAGACATACTAGGAAATAACAAAAAAATATAGATTGGTGGTATATGGTATTGTTAGGTAAACTATAACAATCGACCTTGTATTTGTTTCTCAGACTATCACATCCTCCCTCCTATCAGTCTGTTTGCATATTTCATTAAAGAAATGTCTATCCTAGTAGTATTAGTAATAATGGTAGTAGTGTGTATTTTTAACTAACTTGCTAACCAGCCAGCCAGTCACTCATCAAAATGTTATCAAGGTACTATAATTTTTTTTAGATTCCCAACACTCAGACATGCATTACATTTTTCTACCCCTCGGCAATTTTTAAAAATTGTATTCGCTTTTTTCGGACCATGGTATTATTACTTTTTGGTTGACCTTGGGGACTGAGACTATTTGATGTATTAGTCAGCAGCATTGTGTAGTACTTGCGTGTGTGTGTGTGTGAGAGTGCATTTACTTTTTTAAAATTTTCTTTGAATAGTTTTCTGTGACATGTACAAAGCATCATACACAAGCAGAGATGACGCAGCAAATACTCATATAATACTGAATGGTCATGGTTGTTACATTCTGATGTACCCTATTAAAATTAATGTAATTACGCATTTTGTAGTTTAGACTTGAATGTTGTGCATCCTAGTAAATGAACTCTTTCATTGATGACTGATCAGACCAAAAAAAGAGTAATCCTTGACTGACTGCGCAATCGTTTATTAAAATGAACCAATCAAATACTAGACATTTAAGTATTTTACTCTGTAACGCCTACGCTATCAGTCGTATAATGTGTATGTGTTATGATTATCTTGACAAAATGCCATGATGTGATATGTGATGGAAATTCTAACTCATATTTTATAAGTATGGATAATAACAAAAAAAGTATGCCTTGTTTTTACATACTGCATTATTAGTGGTAGTAGTAGTAGTAGTAATTTACTATGTAAACAAGGCATCCTTTTTTTTTAGCGATGAGGTCCATATGAATAATATGACTCATTATTTGCAAATTTGGTTAGTTGGTAAGTATGGAAAAAAAAACCTTTTTAGAAATAGAAATGAAAAACTCACCTTGGCTAGTGGTAGTAGTGAATCGGTTCTTTTTTGGGCGGGTAATAAAAGGCAGGAATTTTCCATGTGATCGGTATGATAGTGAGATATAGACACACACACACACACACATACATATTTTCGAGACTGATACGATCTCGTTGTTCCTGTACTTGGTTGATCTTTATTTCATGTACCACATTCTTCTTTGATTATTATGTATGAATACTGATGATAAGATCATTGAGAAAAAACAATTGTGAATACAAATGAACAAAGGATATTTTTTTCTGTTTATCATCTACATAGAGATGGATTAGTTGTATGGTAGAAATATGAAAAAAAAAAAAAAACAATTTATGTACTATATGATCATTTGTGTGTTGTTGTTGTTGTTGTTGTCTAGTTTTTGTGTGAGATCAAATAGATCGATTGCTTTACACAAACACCAATGAATGAATGTAGGCAGTGTGAATTGTGTGTAGAAAAAAAAAACAAGAAGAATTTCTCCGGGTTCATCATGATCTGTTTTTGTGGTTTCATTCATTGTACACTGTAAAATTTCTGCCTAATTAATGTTCAATTAAATTCTCAAAGCTAACTTAACTACTAGTGAACACAATATCTAAGCATTTATAATACAAGTCAATATTTACAGCATGAAACTTTTAGTTAATTGTCAAATTGTCAAAAACTCACATGAAACTATTATAATTTATTTGTGATCTACATCTTTTATAAGTTGTTTTTAATACAATAGATACCATGTAAAAATAATGATTTAGTGATTGTGAAGGCCGGTGTATTACATTCAGACAATAAGTCATCATAGGTTTAAAATTCACTTTATCTAATTCAATTGAATGCCAGGAATTAAATAAGTAGAAATATGTACTTTTTTTTAACTGTCCTTTCTTTTCTCTTCATATTTCTTTATTTGTAGAATATATTCTCAGTGATTCCAGCATGATGATATCAAGTAAATCAACATTGGATAAACGTTATCAAGATCGTCGACGTCGTAATAATGAGGCAGTACGCCGTTGTCGTGAAAATAAACGTGCACGTCTACTTGGACGCACAGAAACTACAGAGAAATTACAAAGTGAAAATCGTTGTCTGCGTAGTGAATTAAGTGGTTTAAGCATGGAAGTTAAAGCGTTACGTAAGCTGCTTACAGTTGGTGGACAACAACAGGATGAACACGAGAATACTACGACCATCACTACTACTACTACTACTGCTGCTAATACTACTACTACTACTACTACTACTAATAATAATAATAATAATAATAATCATAATTACTCCATACATAGTACTGTTGTTTGTAGTAATGGTATGGATTATTTTAGTAACAATGATGAGGCAACATTGTCGGCAACAACAACAACAAAATACAATCAGAAAGAAGTGAAAAAAATGCCATTAGTACCAACATCACTAACATCAACATCATCATCATCATCAGTACCACCGACATCATCATCATTATCATCTTCGGTGGATGGTGACGATGATGATGGTGATGATGATGACGACGATGATGTCAGTGATGATAGAAAAGATGTTGAAATTACTGTAATCAATCGTGAAATGGAAATAATTGAAACTATGAATGATAACAATATTGACAAGAATAACAATGATATTGAAATGCTAACTTTAACAACAATGAATATGAATAATTATTCGTTGGATGATAATAATGCTAATTCATTGAGCTCTCAAGGAATTATTGATCAGTCTGAGAAATTATCATCCAATATCTCTACAGTAACATTAACATCTGATCAAATGAATAAGAATGTACAAATTTTTTCGCTAAATGAACATTCCCGACAGATTGATAATTTATCAGAAGAAAACCTAGTTCATATGACACATTCGAATACAAACAACAATACTACTGATACTGCCGATACTACTACTATTAAAATTGATAATGATGATATTGGATACAATGTCAATGTCAATGGTAGCAATGTTGTTGTTGTTGCTGTTACAAACACTGATGCAATTCAATCGACTGAATTATTAACTCGTGTAAATAAAAATAACAATGATAAACCAATGAATGTGATTTTACGCGGACGTCGACGCACATTGAAAACACCGATACATAATAAACATGGGAAAATTCACATAAATCATTCTACTAATCAGCTTGATGAACAAAAAACAACCAGTGATAATAATATCGTTCATTCTAATATTACACAAACTACTGATTTGAACAATGCATCAAATTTATGCAATACAATGCATAATACACCTTCATCGCTTAATACTACTGCTACTGCTACTACTACTACTTCTACTACTACTACTACTACTACTACTACTACTACTACTACTATTAATATTATGTCAAGTAGTAGTATATTATCGAAAAATGAAAATTCTTATATTCTACCTGATAAATCAACTTATTTTCATCAACTAACTACTAATGAATATTCCACAAGAAATTCAGGGAAAGAAGATAGTATTTTAACTTAGCATTTATTTGTATTTTATGTATTTATTTTTTTTTTATATATAGAAAAAAAGGTTGTTTCATTTTTCATATAAACTATATTGTTGTTGCTGTTTATAATTGTGAATTAATTACAATACACTTCCTTTCATTCCACACTGTTCATCGATTGTCTATTCTCTTTCTTCCCTGTCCTGTGTGGGTTGTTTTTTGGTTTTTCACTGATTGATAAGTGTGTTGTTTCGATTCTTAGTTTATGTGTAGTATATTGATTGTTTCCTTGTCCTTGTTCTTCTCCTTGTTCTTCTTCATTGTCTTTTCATGGTCAAAAGATAAAAACACCATTTCCATGTATTTTTTATTGAATTGACATTTTTAATATTTCGATGAGCGCCAATTATTCTTTTGACCATTATTAACTTTTTTCTATTCACCTTTGTGAATATGGATTGATGCAAATTGGTTGAAATTATCGCATTCAATATTTTTCGTCCAGTCTCTTCAAATTCCAATATACACAATTAGCCAATCTCTAATATTATGAAGTGAATATTTTTCAAACAATAATAATCATAATCATAATAATCATAATCATAATAATAATGAGTTATTATTATTGTTCAGTTGTATTACACATGTTGGTTTGTTGTTAGGTTTATTATTATTATTATTATTATTATTAATATTTTTATTTTTATGAATAGAATAACACATGATGACATTATGATGTCTTTGAATAAGATGTGGCAGTAGTACTAACCCTAACGGTAATAATAATAATAATAATAGTTTTACAAATTGATATTCTTCTCTGGCTCTCTCTCTCTCTATATATATATATATATATATATATGTATTTACACATCCCATTTTATTGATAATATATCTATTTCCTGTCTGTTTATATATGTATGTGTGTGTATTTTTGTTAATTTCTTCTTCTTCTTCTCCTTCTCCGTTGTTGTTGTTGTTGTCTGTGCATAAAGAGAAACTTTTGGTTTTTTTCTTTCTTTTACTCAGAAATATTTTGTTATAAATAGAATTATCCAAGTATTATTTTCCCTATTTTTTTTCGTATTTTTTTCCCCTTCTTTCCTTCCGCCGTTTTGTGTTTATGCTTGTGTATTGTTTTTCTTAGATCACCGAAATTAATTGCATCTCTCTCTCTCTCACACACACACATACACACACATGACTCCATATATACATTAAATAAGAATTGAGATTCTATCAATGTGTTTGTTCACTATTGTTAGTTCAGTCAATCTGTTTCAGTTGTTGAATTCCTTTTTTTTTTTTTAAAAAAAAAAATTTTCCTATTTACATGTTGATTGATTGTTTTCAGTTTTATTTTTAAATTTTTTTAAATTTTTTATTCAATAGCCCTGATAGAATAGTGTAATTTATGTAGATTATCAATCAACACTTGACTCTTACCTCAAAAGTTATGACAGTTTGTTTGTTTGTTTGTGGTTGACTTTTGTCATCTATTTCGTAACTGATCATCATCGTCAGCATAACAGCAATATTATGATGATGATGATGTAAAAATCCTCTTTCAGTTTTCCATTGTTCTTTCTCTTTTTCTTTTTATGTTTTGTTATTTTTGTAAAATTAATTAAACTTTTACTTCATCAGTTATCCATCTACTGTTTGCATGCCATTTAACGTGTATATATGTGTGCGTGTGCGTGTGCGTGTGCGTGTACTTGTAGAACGTACTCGAATGCGTTGGATTTATTCACATTCCTCTTATCCGAATATTCTCTTTTTCTTCTTTGTGTGAGTAATTTTTTTCTATTGATCTGTTAATATTGCTACACTTGGTCACATCAACTTCCATGTGATGATGATTATGAACTGCTCAAATAATCACAATAGTGAAAACCGATGGGAACAACTTTTGAAAATCTTTTTGTACTTTATATATACATATATACATTATTTATTGCACAATCTGTTTCTTTCTTATGAAGTGAACTTTAAATGTATTATTGTATTATACTATTATTATTATTATTATTATTATTATTATTATTATTATTATTATTAACTATCGTTATTATTACACTTTTATGAATAGTATTAATTAAATTGTAAATTGTATTGTTACTGTAATTTATTATAGAAAAGAATTGTTTATGATCTTTGTAGAATGAAACAAAATAATAATAGAGGAACAATTTGTGCATTTTTTCACCGGTGTTTTAAATTATTATTATTATTATTATTAATATCTATATGTTAGTGACATTGTTTGGTAATCAAGTGGTTGTTAATGGTGGTGATGATGATGACGCGTGGAAGTGGGAAATAGTGGAGAAAGGATAACCATTTATTTTTTTTGGCAATGACTAATACTAGTTTTTATTCTGTTTCAATCTCACATTGTTCCTCCTTGCTCACTCCAATCTCTCTTCCGATCTTTTTTTTTCTATGTTTTTTTTTATTCATTGATATCAACAACAAAAGTTTTTGCTATTTGTATCATTCCTGTTTTTATTTATTTTATTGTTATTATTATTACTATTGGATAATAAAGTTGTTTTTTTTTCTGTTTTTGTTCTCTATGCGTTTTCTTTTCGTCGTTGTACACATTTTATAGTTATTGATATCGTTTTTATAGTAAATAAGGCACAGAAAAAAAGAAGTGAACTTGATAGATAGTCTAGTTGATTGTTGAATGATTCATGTATAACTGGTTGGTTATTGATCAAAGCATACCCTATTCACACCGTAGATTTCTTGTTCGAATTCCGTTCTGCTTAAATATGCATTAAGTCTTATACACTCAATGAAGAGTAAAGTTGTGCACATGAATTTTCACTTTGTAAAAAAAGTTGAGAGAATAGTCCACTTTATTTGAATGTTGGCTTGTAAGTTCGAAATCTAGTTCACTTATTTTGATTAAGTCTAGTCAATAATTATTTAACATTAATTCTCAATACTTGAAATTGTAATTCAAACAAATTAAAGAGAAACCAATGTTTCATTAAAAAATTGAGCGAACAGTTTTAATTCTCTTATAAACAAATTCATCGAATGAAATTGACCAAATTGACCTCCAGTTGTGATAAGAAAAAACAAAGTACCAATAGAAGATGATAAGCACTTTTTTTTAAAAACATGTAATAAAATTTTCTCATCCAAGCTTAAATGATAGTTGCAAGTTTTTATGTTCTAATATAATCTAAACAGTGAGTATTGTTTAAACAGAGTAGTTCAACGATAATAATAATAATAATACCTATTTGAATACATTTCAATACAAAAAAACGACCAATTCGTTGGTGGTTTATATTTAGAATATTTTGAGGCGATTCATACAAAATGTAAACAATGCAATAAGTTAACTAACTAGAAACTTCAAGTATGAGAATTATTATTATAAGTCATGTAGTGAAGGCAGCTGAAATCAATCATAATAAAGTGATTATTTTAATTTAAAATTGTTGACTTTATGAAATCTGTCACAATCTCGTCTTTGATTTCATTCTTAATCATCAATACTGTTACAGTCTATTAATTCAAGTTATTATACACACTAGTTAATTTTCACTGGTTTTATTCAATTAGGTAGATGTGTATATATATATATATATATATATATATATATATATATATATATATATATATATATATATATATATATATATATATATGTAGACGATTGATTTTCTAAGACGCAATGAGCACTGTCAATGAATATTGTGATTCGTGGTATTTTTACTTTGCTGTAATTTCTTTTTTTCCCCTTTTTCACACGGTGCTGCTGAATAAGATAAAGTAAACATTAATTGAATTACTACTATTACAATCTGAAAGTGACATTTTTTCCTAATTGGATTATCAATTCAATTAACAAGGTGTATAAGTTTATCAGAAAATTTCCGTTATCGGTTTCTAATGTACAGATTAAAATTCTTATCATGTAGAAGTAATTATGTAGTAGTTCAGTAAATTTGATACCGTCTTGCTGTTTTCATATTATGGTGCTGGAAAATTTACACTAAATCTAATTGGATCAATGTCACTTAATGACATGTAGCTATCAATGTGTTCAAATGTAAGCTTAAATCGATTAGGTAATTGAAAGTAGTCGACAGAGTAAACTCTACTTGAACTAGATTTCGTGTTGGTTAGTACTTGTTGACAAGGCGTATCTGTATAATCTTTGAGGAAATGACACTGATAGATGAGTGCGTCAAATCGGTGTCACACTCGGCTTCATAGTCTAAAATATTGTCAAAGATGAGGTTCATATCATGTAGGATTAAGGCATATTTAAAACGTTACTGACCATTAATTTAAAAATAACATGGTAGAGTGTTTAATTTAAACAGTTAAATATTACATTGTCTATTGATGGAAGTAATTAGTATAGAGCAATATAAGTTATTTTTATTAATCTGTTTGCCTTTCTTAGAATAGACTATTCACTGATTCCTATTTTTCACCATCATGTGATAATAACTACTAACCCTAACCTATAAGAAAATCACTTACATAGAATATGAAGAATATACACATCGGTTCAATTAGCCACATCATAATTAGATAAAGTGATTAAAAGATATCTCAACATAACAGAAGTAATCATAGAAAAGATCAGCTTTCAATAAAATGTATGAGCTAATATGAAAGCTCATGGATGTAACACTGTAGTCTAAATAAAATAATAAAAGACAATTACAATGGATAGTGAATCAAACAGCATTGAATACATTTGAATTGTGGTTATACACAGACATTTTGAATATTTGTTTCATTGAGTGCGTCTAAATCTCAGTGTTGTTATTTTGAAATAAAGAAATGCAATATCAAAGTCATTCGCTAATAATACTGTTCACTGGTCTTATTTGTTCATTGAATAATAATTCTTTACACTGTAGAATGCAATTTATACTCACATTAGTGTTGATGTGTTACAATTTGACATTAGTTGTGTTACTCTACAGATTATGTATGATATAATCAACCAATCAATGTTCACTTTCATCATCATCATCATCATCATTATTGATTGGAATATTGTTGAATAATTCTTAGTTTTCATTAATTCTTCCGATTTCATATTAGTTGAAGGAGAAGAAAGTTACTTTAAATTATGAAAAAAATAAAATCTCTACAAATTCTTATTCTAATTATAATTTTATGTTCACTAATAACTCATTCAATTAATACTGAATGTACAGTTTTTAATTCTGTTCGAATTTTAACACAAACACTAATTTAACATTAATTCATAGAATAACTTTTACTAGCTGATAGTTTATTGAACAATTATCGTATCTTTTGTATTATTCTATGAGTTTGACATGCATGTGTGTATGATGATCATATGGAATTAGTTGTAGACTATTATACCTCCTATCTTATGATGAATACATATCACTTACGTATTAGTAGTGTTTAACATTTCAATGAATTTAATTCAATTTACAATTGAGAAATGTTGATCGATTGAATTCAGGGCAATGATTGAATTTCACGAGTTAACATTACAAACTGGCCGTACACATCAAACTAGTAAAAATTACTAAGCAATGGTTAGCTATTTCGTCCTAGCATCTGATTCTTAGGAA